ATCGAGTTATACAGTTTATACTGAACACAGATAAGGGAATAGGGATTTAACTAAGCATGGTGCACAGAATGTCAAATAGGCAGTTAAAATACGTAAGCATGCTCTTCTAGTCTAAACTAAACAATTAAGCATATTAGTGCAATTTAATAAAAGAGACAATTTATGATTTAAAAAGGATAACGGGATTTTTGCAATAACAGCCCGTGTACGTACTCGTCACCTCACGTACACGGCGTCCACACACCAAATAATATCAAGACATCCTAAGGGAAAAGTCCCCAACACAAGGTTAGGCAAGCCACTTACCTCGAACCGCTCAAATCACCTCGATAATACGTTCTTGCCACGAGTATCCGACTCCAAATGGCCCGAATCTATTCAAATAAATTGCATAATATAAATATAACTACAAGTAACTAATTTAGCTAATTAATTCGAAGCTAAAGCGTGAAATTAGGAAAAACGCCCAAAAAGTCACCTTGGGCCCACGTCTCGGAATCGGGTAAAAGTCACAAAATACGAACACTCATTCACTCACGAGTTTACTCGTACCAAAATTGCTCAAATCCGATACCAAAATCTCGATTAAAACCCCAAAATTCGGCCTAAGAAATTTTCTCAAAGTTTCACCTCAAATCCGAAATTTAACGATGAATTCAAGCATAGATTAGTGGAATATAACCATAAAGGAGTTAAGAATCATTACCCAATCGATATCTCTGAAAATCCCTCAATCCCTCATCCAAAATCCGAGTTCCCAACTTAAGGTTTTGATAAAAATGGCATAACCTTCGTTTTTTGGAACTTTAATCCTGCCTAGACGCGTTCTTCTTCGCGAACGCGGCCACACCCTCGCATTCGCGAAGTACAATTTACTTCGGCCCAAAATACTCCATCGCGAACGCGATGCACATGTCACGAATGCGAAGACCACTTAGCTTGAGCCTTCGCGAACGCGGGATCTCCATCGCGAACGCGAAGCACGAAATCTCGCCTGCCTCTAGTTCTTCTTCACGAACGCGAGGACCATGTCGCGAAAGCGTAGCTTCGAGGTTCCACACCTTCACGAACGCAAGAGCGACATTGCGGACGCGAAGAGTAATTCAGCTGCCCTTCCCAGATACCTT